AGGGTGGTGGGCTAGCCCGGGGAGGGGAGGTGTAGGGAAGGAATGGCATTGGGTTTTTCTGGGTGTTCCTACTCCACCCTGTACCCCGTGTCTGAGCTGCCCACCTCCAACCTCATCTTCCTGAAGCCTGCTCCAGACTTGGCCCCCTCCCCAAGCCCCACTTGAACCTCTCTCACCAGCAGTGAAATTCTGGGCTTCTGAGCCTGTCCATTTACTGTCTGTGTCTCCTGCCTGCTGTCCTGCATACACGGCGTCCCCAGCACCCAGCCTGGTATACAGCAGGTGCTCAATCAACACCAGCAAAAGCTGATGGGCCCTCCTTCCCGGCCAGAGCTGCTAACCGCTCGCCCGAGCCCCATGAGGGGGGACGCCGAGTACTCCTTGTCTAGGGACCGGGAAATCAAGTTGGGGGCCGGCTTGCCTGCTCTCAGGCCCTCATGACACCCTCCACGTCTGGGGCCCTGGCCCTGGGGTCCCCTGAAGCCTGACATTCTGGAAACACCTCCCACCACCTTTGGCCGCTTCCCAGCCTTTCCCAGGTTGCAAATCCCCTAATAAGTCCAGGAGAGCCTGGGGGGCTGGAGGAAGACGGACCTCAGACCTGCCACCCTGCCCCAATTCCACTTTTCAGCCCAAGACAGAGAGAAAAAAGCAACGCTGACTGTCAAGTGCACACACAGCCCCAGAAAGGAGCCAGGAGCCTCTGCCCTTCCCCACTGAACGGCACTGAAAGACCCTCAGAAGATCCTGCCCCGGCTGCCCGCGCCCTCCTGCCCCCCAGGAGCAGGATGTTTACAGAAGGAGCCGGTCCTGAGGACTGCCGGGCAGCGGCCAGATAAGGAAGCGGGGGAGGTCGTCAAGGAAACAGCAGGGAGGGGGTGCAGGCGGGACCCCTCCTCTCATTCCCAGCCCCCAGGCTGTTCCGAGAGAAACCTAGTTGGGGGTTTTCACTTTGTGACGTGGGGAAAAGAAACTACCTTCCCTCCGTCAGGAGCAAAGGAGGAGGTGGGCTTGTGGGATGCAGAACATGGTGTCCAGGAGCGAGCATGGGGGGGTATGACAGATTCTCAGCCCCAAAGGCCCCCAGTTACCCAGGGGAGGGTCCAAGAAGACAGCAGGGAAGAGGGGGCCTTGAGGCTGGGTTTTGAGGGATGCATAGGAGTTTGCTGGTTCCTGCCCTCCAGGAACACCCAGCTTTAGGAGGGAATAGGGCTGGCTGCACACAGATCGTCATGGGCCTGTGTGGCGAGGGGCTAGACTCACACGTCTGGACCCCCAGCCTCACCCACCTACAGGGGCAGCTCACCATGCTACCTAAGTACCTCCCGGGCCCAGCAAAATGGGTGAGCTGTGGGGCTGGGAGCTTGGAGCCCTACAGCAGAGCAGTGCAGGGGCTCGGGTAGGTGTGTACGGACGGTAAGAGAGTCGGGGAGATCTCTCCGGCCACATGAGGGGCAGCAGGCCCTGGTCAGGGCTGCCCTTGGAGGATAACACGGGAGGGACTCCCACCCGGCACAGGAGGGGTTAACTCAGAGGCCGCTGGGCAGTGGGGGTCCTTCCCTTCCGGTGGCTGGCGGCTGGCAGGGTCTGGCGGGGCCTGTGTTTACAGAAGCCAAGGGAGGGGCGGGCACAGGCCTGGACAAAGCCGGCAGCTGGGCCGGGCCGTCCCTACGAGGCCCCTAGCAAGCAGCAGCCCCAGCCCTGCAGCCCGACCGGCTCCTCCTGCTCCGCCCCTTCCTGCCTCTCTGAGCTCCGAGGCCTCCTCCCGGCCCTGAGTATTGCCAGGAGGTTGGAGGGGTGGCACTCCCAGGACCACATTCAGCTGACAAGGACTCAGGGGACGTGAGGGAGGTCCTAACCCTGCTCTCCCTGGCTGAGAGCCAGGCTTCCCCTCCCCCAATCTGAGCCAGGCTCATCTCAAGTGGGAGGGATGGCCCTGGGTCTGTCCCGTGTCTGAGCACCTGGACACCTGCCCAGACCTGTCCTCAGCCGGCCCCCCCTCGGCATGCCTGGTCATCTCTCTTCCCAAGGCCTCGGTCGCGAGACGCTTCCCAGTGGGCTGTGTCTTGTACCCGTCTCACCCCGGACCAGGAGCGATCGAGGGCAGGGTCAGGCCACAGAGGGGGCATACTGTTGGCGCTCAATAAATGTGCACGGCACACCAGTAACTCTGTATTCAGCGCATCTGGGGCGCCTGCCGACCGCTGAGTTTTGGGAGGCTGCCGCACAGGAGGTGCTGTTTGTAGCCCGTCTTACAGATGGGGAAACTGAGGCTCCCCCCATGGTGGGAGCAGGTCAGGGGCCGGGACTCTATCTCAAATCAGCAGCTGAAGGATATGTCCCCCCAGAGCCCACCTGCCCATCAGGGACCTGACTCCGTGTCACAAGCACAGAGGCCAGCCCCGCCCCCATCACCTGCCGTCCCTACTGTGGGGGGACCCCCATAGTACCCTGGGTCTTGAAGGAGGGAGCCTGGGCTGTCAGTCAGGGGCTGGGGCCTGGAGACCCTCCCAAGAGACCCACCTCGCAGACTCACAGCCGTGCCTTCCCCATCAGGCCCCCTCAGCGGGGGGCGCCTCCAGATGCAGGGAGTCCTCTGCCGCCCTCAGGCGCCCCCCACCTCCCGTGACCTGGGGGGCTCACCTCGCTTCTGCATGAAGCTGAACAAGTCGTCCAGGAATTCCTTCCTTTTGGGGTCCCCGTCGAGCTCGTAAAGCTGGGAGGGTAGAGAGAGGCCAGGTTAGTGGGTGCCAGAGCTGGGGGATGAAAATCACATCCCACCGTAACAGGGGCCAGGCCGACAGGGACAGCAACCAGAGGTGCCAACACTCAGTCCCCCCTGTGAGCTGTCACCAGCATTCAAACATCTCCTGAGGCCCCAGCAGGCAGAGAATGGACCTGACCCTGCACCCCAGTTGGGGACCCGGAGCTGCCCTAACATAGCACCACAGACCGGGTGGCTTAAAACGATGAAGACTTATTCTTTCACATTCCGGAGGCCAGAAGTCTGACATCGGGGTGTGGCAGGGACGTGCTCTCTCTCTGGAGGCTCCAGGGGAGGACTTTCCTGCCCCTTCCAGCTCCTGGAGCTGGCGGCTCCCTGGGTTTGTGGCCATGTCCCTCCAGTCTCTGCCGCCATCGTCACATGGCTCTATATTCTTTCTGTCTTTTCTACGCTCACCAGGCCCCTGGATTTAGGGCTCCTAGCCTCATCTCAGTCCTTAACTAATTACATCTGTAAAGACTCCATTTCCAAATAAGGTCCCTTTCATGGGAACCGGGGGTCAGGACCTCAACGTGCCTTTTTGGGAGATATTACTCAACCCCTGCCCATGCTGACACAGCAAATAATTTCTACAATGGCCACGACAGATGCCTCCCGGGGCTGTCCTGAGAGTCACATGCAAAGGCATCTGCTCCCGAGAGATGGCTCCATTTTGCAGATGAGGAAACTGAGGCACAGCAGCAGGTGGGAGACCACAGCCTGGGACTGTTGGGGACACTCAGCCCAAACCTTCCCGGCTCCCGTGCCATGCCACCCTGACTCCCCTGGCACCAATGACAGCTTCTGCCTGCTGGGGTTACGGCCAGGGAACAACGAGGTCACAACGCATGCCTGGTACTGTCATCGCAGGAGGGGAAAGGGTCTCTATCTGGGGGTGGGGGACAGGAGGTCCCTCGCCCCGCAGATGGTCAGCTCACAGTTTCCGGTGGGCGGGCAGAGGCCTGCAGGGCGGGGGGAAGAGATAATTAGAAAGCGCGGTGCAGGCAGGGGCCGATCTGCCGAGGAGGGGCGGCCCAAATACCAGCCTTCAAATGATTAAGCTCCAGGGGACGCAGCTGGCCGGGCCGTGGGGGGCCTTGAAACCACCAATTAGGCCTCCTCGGGGCTGATTCGTCATGAGGGCCCAAGAACGTGGCCAGGCCCTGCTCTGGCTGGTGGGGACATCCCCGGGTCCTGGGGAGGCAGATAGAGGACGTGGCCACCCCTCAACCGCATCCTGACCCTCTCTGGGCCTCAGTTTCCCCATCTGCATTGTGGAGACAAAGTGGGGCCTTCCAGAGAGCTGCTGGGGGAGCCAGGCGCCCAGACCTCTGCCCTGGGTGGTCTAGGCTGAGCAGAGGGTGAGCTGCCGGCCTTTGTCTCTGCCCCACCCTGGCCAGTGCAGACTGGCTGGCCTGCATTCCTGCACTGATTTATAGTGGCCAGGGAGGCCCGAGTTTCCCCTTCAGCTGCCGGAGGGTGTGGGGCCTGCAGGTAGACCCGGCTGGGCGGCTGGACCGTCCTGCGGGTGTGAGCAGACACATACGCACGCAGCCCCAGGCGGGCCTTGTCACCCTCTGACCCCTGCCCCAGGCCCAGCTCATCCTGCCTGCATGCCCCCCTCAGGGAATCCCTCCCCCCCACTACAATCCTCCAAGGTCCTTTCCATCACCTGAGCCAATCGATTTACTTATTTTTCTGGGTTTTTGTCTGTTCTGCTCACAGCAAAGGTCATTGTCATTGCAGGCAAATTGCCAGATGAATAATTTTAAAAAATAAATGTAAGCTCAGATATTTGGGAGAAGTAGTGGTCAAGAAGAGGCGAGACAGTCTGTGGCAGCCCAGAACAATTTCTTGGACAAAGCAAGACTTAAACTGGGCCTTGAAAATTGAGGAAGAGCAGCCAAAAGGCAAAAAAAGCCCCTTCTCATTTCCAAAAATGGAGATTGGTAGCACTATCCAAGATGATGACACATTCTTTCAAACTCCTTTTTTGGGTGATCCTGATAGGCTGATTTCCCATACTTTGAAACCTGTTTTTCCAGGTAAGTGCAAACATCAGAGATGAGCTCATTTACAAGTTAGTCTTAATCCAGTTTTGTTCCATTTTAAACTCCTCCAGGGTACAACCTGAGAGTACTCACCAACCAATACTTCCTGAAAAGCCTCTACAACAGGTGAAAGTTCCTATGACCCTTGATGAGCAAAGAATGGGATTTTAGGGCCCGCTTGTGGCTCACTCGGGAGAGTGTGGTGCTGATAACACCAAGGCCACGGGTTCGGATCTTATATAGGAATGGCCGGTTAGCTCACTGGGTGAGCGTGGTGCTGACGACACCAAGTCAAGGGTTGAGATCCCCTTACCGGTCATCTTTTAAAAAAAAAAAAAAAGAATGGGACCTTACTTGCAAAGAGAGGGCCTTTGCAGATGTAATTAGTGAAAATCACGTCATATTGGGGTAGGGTGGGCCCCACATCCGAGGACAGGCGTCCTTATAAGAAGAAGAAACACACAGAGAGAAGCCACATGAAGACAGAGGCAGAGACTGGAGAGATGTGGCCACAAGCCCAGGGACGCCTGAAGCCCTAGAGGCTGGAAGGGGCAGGAAGGACCGTCCCCTGCAGCCTCTGGAGGGAGTGCAGCCCTGCCACGCCTGGATCTCAGACTCTGGGCTCCAGAACTGGGAGAGGATAAACTCTGGTTTTAAGCCACCTAGTTGTGGTTGTTTGTTATAGATCCCCAGCGGCCAGCACACCTCAGGCCCTTCCTGGGCGAGGGGGAAAATCTCCGAGATTCTGAGCCAGGTGAAGTGGGGAACGTCCACCCCATCCCCCACAAGAGACCTCACAGTCGCTCCTGCCTCCGTTTCCCCATCTTTCAGGAAAGTGCGATGAAACACAACTGCTTTAACCCTGAGTACCTGGAACCATGGTGACCCCCATATCCCAGGTGGGGAAACTGAGGCTCAGAGCAGAGAACAGCTGGCCCATGACAGAGGACCAGGAAAGGTGGGAGGAGAGTTGGGGGGTGTTAACCCTCAGGCCAAATGGTGGTCTACCAGGCCGGCGGCGAGGCATGGCCAGACCCCTGTGGGGCCATAAAGTGGGGACGTTCAGGGCCCCCCAGCTGTCGGTGGCCGCGGAGGCTTTAATGGCCGTTGCTGTGGGCAGCTAACAACAAAGGCGGGCAGTAAAGGCCTCCCCAGCTTTATGGGGCTCTGGCCCCTAGTTCCGCTCCCCTGTGGGGTGCATCCCGCCCTGGCCAGCTGGGGATGGGGGAGCAGGGACAGTGTCTAGGCTCCCCATGGCGGTGTCCAGGCCCCCTTTGTGAGCCACAAAACTTCCTCTACCAAACCCACCCGGGTTCTCAGGCTGAAACCATGCCCCTCTCAAAAGTGGACGAGAAAGCTCCAAAATGGGCACCCACAGGACCCCAGAGCTACAAACCCAGGCTGGAGATGGGGCAAAACCTCCAAAACCCGCTTCTGAGGGCTGAGGGTAAGAAAGGCTGCCACACCTGCCCCTCCTGATTCCCCGGGGTCTGAACTAGGGTCTCCCTCTCTGGCCCGGCCTCCCCCTTCTCCCAGCACCCCACCCCTCACCGGCCAAGCACGGTCCCACCTCCGAGCCTTCGTCCTGGCTGTTCCTCTTGCCTGGAATGCCCTTCCCAGTGCCTTCCCCAGCTGGCTTCCCCTCCATTCAGGTCTTAGCTCAAATGTCCCTCCCTGCAAGGGCCCCCCGACCTTCCTGGAGAGGAGCCCCACTCTCTCACTACGGCTGTGGCCGCCCCCACCCCTGGGGATGCCCTCAGGTCTCACTTGCAACACAGTCACTGATTGTCACCGATCCTCTGGCTGATAACACTCCCCCCCCCACACACCGCTCTGTCCCAATCCGGGCTGTGTAGATTTTTACAAATTTGTCTGGTTTCTTGTCTGTTTTCCCCAGAACATGAGGGATTTTTTGTGTGTTTTGTTCCGAGAGTCAAAAATCGGGCCAAGCACACAGTGGTTACTTCATAAATGCATGTTCAGCAAACTCAGCCTCTCAGTTTTGTGTGTCCTTTTCTAACCCGCAATGCCTGTGCTTTGGGCGAGCTCAGTCCCACCGTCCCTGGGAGCCTGACCATGCTGGGTCCTCATCCTGACCCTTACACTTCCTTCTGTGTGGACGTGGCCCCCCGCCCTCTCCAGGTGCAGAACCTCAAGTGGGGGAGGTCGTTAACTGGGATGGAGGCATCCAGCAGGTGCTCAATAAGGGCACATCGCAAGTCTGCATTTTCCCCCTGAGAAGTGGGACAGCTGCGCCCCTTCCAGGCTCCCCATAGGGCAGGGTTGTGGGGGCACACCCGGCTCCAGCCACACAGGGACCCCTCTGGCCTGTTTCAGCTCTGGGGGGGGGTCTTACTCCATGCCTGCCCACCCTGGGATGGAGGGTGTCATTCGCTAATTACCAAGGTTGGGCTGACCGTGTATGTCTCCCCATTCCCAGCACCACCCACTTTGCAGAAGGGGAAACTGAGGCACAGAGCCGGTGAACCCCAGCCACTTCTCTCACCTCTCTTCTCCACTCAGCAGCCAGAAGGGTCTTTCTCAGCAGTCTGAGCATGACCCTCCCCTGCTCTACAGCCTCCCATGGCTCCCCAGTACCCTCACACGGCCAGTCACTTCCCTGCCCGCCCATCCGCACGTCGTCCCTCACCCCGCTGCCCTGGCTTCCTCTGCTCCAGCCACGTGGGCCTTCTGGCTGCTTTTTGAGCAAAATGCACACGATCCCACCCCAGAGGCTTTGCACGGACCCTTCCCTCTGCCTGGAATGCAGTTCCTGAGATCTCCCAATGACTCCCTCCTTCCCACCCAAGCACCACCTTCTCAGAGAACCCCCCCGCTGCTCCTCACCCTCTGACCCATCACCCTGCTCTCTCCTTGCCAGCAGGGGACGCTCAGTGAGTGAATGAAACACGGGGTCCCTGACCCTCCCTGGCTCCGGACACACAGGGTAACTGAGGAACAGCACAGTGGAGTGGGGGGAGGCCAGGGGTGGGGGTGGAAGGTGCTGGGCCCCCACCTGCTGAGGGATGGCTGGGTCCCCTCCGAGATAAGGCCAGGAAGGCGCCCAGGGCTCAGGTCGGGGCCCTGGGGTGGGGGAGGGGAGAGGAAAACTGAGATAACCACCCCCACCCTCACCCCCGGCCCCGGCCCGATGGGCAAACAGGAAATTCTTGTTTATGGCGAAAGGCTGATCATCTTCACCAGCCCTCCACGGAGAGAAACTCCTCGGCAGGGCCAGTGGGTCAGGCTGGGAGGGGGAGGGGGTGCTCGGCCACCCTGCACGGCCCAGGGACCCCTCCAGAATCAGGGAGCTCAGCCCTGGCC